TCCCGGTGCCGCGCGCTCCTCTGCCGACACGTGGTGACATGCGGGCGTTACGCTCGGTGGTGAAGCACCCACCGTCTTCAGTAGGACCCAGCTTTCTCCCAAAGACTCCACGCTCACGTGTAGACGTGAATTAATTCAGACGTTCGTGGCATGAGCACGGCATACGTACAGGAATCGTTGCCATGATCTCTTATCGTCGTACGCTGTGCTAGCATTTGACTATCGTACGTTGACAGGAGACTGCTAGACTGGTCAGTACAGCAAAGCCGCTACTGTCCGTGTTACAATATCACATCTCAGAACATGCTTGCATTTTTTTAATAGCGTGATTTTCTTGTAAATAGTGATAAGGCTTATAGATGAGAAATTAGATTTCATGACTGAAGATAGTTAATATAAATTCCATTTTTTAATCAATACTCAGCAGTAAAACAAGGAAATTATTCACACAAACAGCTCCCGTACAACACACTGGTTTGTTTCTGTATGCTTTAAATGGCTTGAATTTCTTTATTTTCTCATATAGCAAAAAGTCCTTCTAATGGTACTCCAAGAAGACCTGTTTTATCTGTCAGTGCAAGAAAAATTAAAGATAATGCAGCAGACTGGCATAATTTAATGATGAAATGGGAGAGACTGAATGATAATGGATTTACTACGGCAAACAAAATAGTCAACATGAAGATCAGTGAACAGTAAGTATCCTAATAACACATACAAGTAAAGACAGCATAAAGATTGCCTTTATTGAGGAATTAATCTGTTTTCTTCACTAGAAAATTCTTTTTGGCGATGGGGGAAAGAACATGTCAGAGCGGATAAACTAGCTCTTAGATCAAACTCAGCAGTTCCACTTTTTGGTTACATAAACTATTTACATTCAAATAATAAATGTCTCATAAAGATTAAAATAATCTCATAAATTAATGATATTTGCAAGAAATGGAAAATGTTTATTATATGTAATCAAGCATAACGGATATTTAAAATACTTATATAATGTACAAAGTTAGAATCTAATCCTATAGATGTCAGCCCATGTGAGTTCCCTTCCTCTCTTGCATATTTACACTGAGGCTAGTATTACCAATTTCACTCAAGTCAAAAGTTCAGCAGATTTTAAGAAAGAATCGGTGATTTATATAGACAAAAAAGTTATAACAGTGATGATTTAAAAAAACAAAAAAAAAAAATCTCAAAAAAACCACTTTGGTAGAGCCATTATCTTCATGCTGTAAAGAAAAACCTGTAACTAACAGGGTTTTGAGAATAAACTTCTCCAGAGTCCTGACAGCTGAACAGGGTTTGTCTGACAGGTTTCTGACAGGTAGAAGCTCAGGAATATTTTGCTGCAATGGTGTCAGATGTTGCTTTCACTCTTTAGCAACTCCCTCACCCCTGTCTAAGTTTACAGCTTCTGTGGGAAAGTCAGCAAGACAGGAGAAGTGTCTGCACATTAGCTGCTCTGGGTTCACAGTTAAATGTCTTAGCTTAAATTGTGCGTGACGGTGAGTTTGTGGTGAGGCACCAGATTGTCAGCTGGAGTAGCTGAAGCCTACTTGTCCCTTATGAGAGAAGAACCTCCAACACAGGGGCAAGGTAAAATGGGAAGAGGTGTTATCTTAACACCTGCAACTACTTTTTCAAGCACGTGTTCTAAGGTAGAGTAATTCTATGTTCCTTTGAAGATTATGGTACCAGCCCCAATTGCTCACATGGCTAGCTATGTCTCTTACTATTTTTATGTGGGAATTCTCATGAACAGCCTGTGAGAAAGAGATTTTGTAGGATCAGACCACATGGATTTCAAATCTGCAGAGCTCAAGTAAACCTATATGCAGTTGTTTACTCTGCCTTATGTTTCTATTTTAGATTTCAAGACAACAAACTGGAGATAGCATGTGATAAGAGTGCCACAGAATCTGAAAAGCCAACTCCAAAATACAATGAAGAACTGGCCAATTGCTGTGCAGAATTACTTGAGACCTTAAAGCATATGGTAATGCTCATTTTTCAATCTTAGTCAATATGAATCAATTCCAAGTGTGTTCAAGTATGACATAAGGAAATGTCCTCAAGTATTTGTTATAAACAGAAAATTGGGATTTTTATTCATTGTTCTTTGGCTTCAAAGCTAAATGATTATAAATCCAGTGTGCACCATTTATTTGCTTGATTGGTAAATTTGCAAGTTGGTTTTACATCTGTCTTCTGCTTATAATTCTATTCCTCCCTTTATAAAATGATCTTCTGAAAATGAGTCGTACAAAAAATGCATTCTAAAACTGCACCTGTTTTCTCTTTTCTCATTCTGAATATTGCCTCTGTTTAGAACAAAACAAACAACAAAGCATAAAGCAAAAGCATAAATGCTTTACCTGCCATCATATCCTTGCAGCTATCTTTGATCAGACATGATGCAGTTATATTTTTAGTTTGCCTACCTGCGTTTTCTGTGCAAAACTCATTCTCTAGAGGGCAGAGTAAGATAATTATTATGTAACCCTCCTTTTTTCTGGATACGTTGGTAGGAATTAATGTCACCTGTCAGTTTAACAGGGAAAAAAAAAATTTTTTTTGTAATTTAAAATTCTTACTAAAAATAACTTTTACAGCCTTCTGCCGTAGGAGGCCCATTAAAAAGATCATAGATCTATTTTTTTATATAGACAGGATACCAGTCCAGTATTTAGAATAAGCAGGAAAGCAGCTAGATTTTCCTCAAATTTTATTCTGTGGGAAAAAGTAACAGTGATTTGGTTTTTTTCTTTTTTTTTCCTTGAGGTAGTTTTGTATTCAGACTACCAAGTGTGTTGATTCAATTTTTTACTACACCTGAGTAATAGGACTATAAGGAGCCACTGTTAGATTGGATACTCAACAGAGCTACTCCAGACATATTTTTTCATTCCTTATGAGTCTATACCAGCTTATGAGTTTACAGAAATATCTATATTTTAGCTTCTTGACTTAAAGATAACTGCCTGCAAGCTCCATTTTGTTGTAAATATTAGTCTCCATCAGTAATACACACAGTCAGGTGAACATGAAGGAAGTGGATGCAATGACCTGTTTTTCGAAGCAAGCTGTTAAATCAGCCTAGATATATTGTCAGTCTTAGCTTGAGCTGCTTTTCTCACCTGCCACTGATCTTTTGAAAACAAATTTAAGTCATCTTTACACGGTAATGTAAGAAAGCATGTGTTTATAGGGCTTGTGCCGCACTTGTTCATAGGCAGTCTGTTGTTTTTCCCCAGTACTAATTTGCTATCGGAAAAACCCAGAGAGAGGTAAAAAAATGAGTGTGTGCTTTAATATATTTCTACATGGGAGAAGCAAAATAATTACGCAAAATCAAAGTCAGTAAGTCGTATCTGCAGTGTTCAAAATTTTAGGGTATCTCATATTAAATCTGTATATAAATTCCAGCTTTGATTCCTGTCTGGAGTTAAAAAAAGTGAGTTAGAAATGCTAAAACTAAATAGTCTTCAGAAATCGTGTTTTTTAAGAAAATGTTTAAGATTATAGTAGCCTAATGTTCCTGAGATTTTCATTAACATTACATGTTCATCATTTTCAGACAAAAATACAGCTGAAAATGGAAAAGCTTACTTCAACTACTAAAGCAATCTGTGACTTGGAAACATTCCACCATGGAGCTGGGAATTGCACAGCACCCTTCTTTCATACATGGCCCACACTGTACTTCTGTAAGTAAAATATTGATTATCTTAGCTAATTGCATTATGTTGTTGATGTCATCTAATTTAGGACTGGAAAATAAACCCTTTTATCTGGATGTCTTGCCTTAGAGAGAGGGTGAGTGTATCTGTCTCCTTTATAATTAACTAATCAATAAACACATGAATGCACCACTTGGCTTGGGGTTACTGCTGATGACTGCTTGTATGAATTGCCAAGCGTTGTCTGACATGCAACAATTACAGCATAAAACTAAGCTTGTCAGCAGCTTACAATGTCCAAGCTGCAACAGCCACATCCTTTGTAGAGAGAGACATATGTGCAACTTGGTAGTGTTAAGCCATAGGCTTAACTGACTTGACTTGTTACTTGACACTGAAATGAAATCCTTGAATGCAAAGAACAAGCCGTACTTCAGTTAATTCTCAGGCAGCCAAAGAAAAATTCCTCTGATCTCAATGTCAGTCAAGATAAGTAAAGAAATGTTCAGTTACTGTCTACTGTTAATATCAATCCTTTTAGCATTCACTTGATCATACCTTTGTGGAGCCGTGCTTCTTACTTTACTATCACAAGTTAGCAGGAACCTTATGTATTAGTTTCTGCCAGCTTAAAAGGGTAAGAATGACAAAGACAACTGCTGTCAAAATGCTCGTTGTGACTGAATCATTTAGTGATGCTCTCTACTCCATGAAAGACTAAATCCTCCTGAAGGTAGTGATAGTTCAGGCTAAGTTAGAAACACAAGATCAGATTATCTTTAAAAATAACTTGTGCGGTTATTTTTTAGCAAGTCAAACAATTAAAGATTATTACATAAATATATTTTACCTCCCCTACCAGTATTACTAACATAACTAGTAACAATATTATTTTTCACATTACACACTTCAGTTTTGGTCTCTTGTTTTGTTTTACTGTTATTTTTCACTATTGGTATCACTTATTGGTGATCACGCATTGCTAAAGTGCCTGACAGCATGTGAGGACATCCTTTACATTAGCTAAAATCAACAGTGACTCTAAAATGTGAAGCTTGTATTTCAAGCTAGCATTACCAAATTTTAAAATCAAATTTCAGTTATTTGAAAGAATAGCTGTAATTGCTAATTTTACAGTGGGTCCTGAGAATCAATACCACTGCTTATTCTAGAATTAAAAGGGAATTCATTGATTCATTAATTCATTCATTCAAAATCACAAGTCTGTCTTGTGAGGTATCCAAAAAGCTGAGGAAATCGTTTAGTGTTTTATATTCTAGTGTACAAACATTGTTAATGCTGTAAAAAACAAGATGTCTACATATGGGGAATAGCTTATGTAAGGTAGGGGTTTTTTAAATGATCGACATATTACAAGTATAATTTAACTTTTAGAGAATTGCTGAAATGTGCTGGTCAATGTGCTTGGTTTTTCAATCCATTTCAGATGAGGTTTCTCTGAAGCTCTCTGAAATGTACAAGAAGGAACTACAACTCAAGCAAACAATTGTACAAGAAATTGCTCATTCTGCTGACCAGGATCTGATGATGGTCTATTTATCATCGTGGTTATACCAGCCTTACATTGAGAACAGCAGCAAACTACTACTTGAAGCCATGCTGCTGGAAACAGGGCATAGACAGTGCTAGAATTTCAAATGTTGCGTGGCTTGCCTCTAATGATGCTTACATGAAACTGAAATGGCAAATTGCAAGGCTTACCAAGTAAGCTGAATTTTTGTAAAACTTATTAAAAATATTTTTCTCTATTTGTATTTATTATTTTGTGTCAGCTGATACTGCTTTTTCTGCATGGTACAATCTGGTTTTGGTTGCTTTATCCATTTAAAGTGCAATAGAGAGGCTACAGTCCCCTATAATCAGAAAGAGGTAAGCACTGCTTGGTGGTCTGGGGGGGATTCAATGCACATAGACACCTACAGAAAAGAATTTTACTGCTTTCCAAAGCTTGCGAGTCTATAATGCCTACATTGTCCCTTTCGCCATAGAAATTCAGCACTTCTTGATCTTTTGTGTTGTTGGTTTTTTTTCCATGACTTAACAGGGCTAGTGCTTTTGTACTTGCTTTATAAATGGGGAAAAGGAAAGGAAAGCACAAAAGGCAGGATCCAAAAGTGGATCCAAAAGGATGCACATAGTTTGGTATGTGGTTCTGAAACGCTGTCACAGACATTAGTGTAAATTCTGGTTTGATTTTGATTATAGTGTGGTTAGGTACATCACCCTTAAAGAGTGGTCCAAGCCTGAACTAGCACATTGGGAAGGTTTAGTACAACTCACTGTTCCACAGTCATTGTATGAAAAGGTCTTGTCTCTTTTAATTCATTGTAACTTTTTTCTTTTAGTGATGTTTCATGAAAGCATCTGTTGACTAAAAACAAGACCTGCTCCAGCCATGTCCTTATCCCGTTTTGTTTGCTTCCTGTCATAGGGCTCAGTGAGTTTTTCCTTGGATTACTGTTTCTGATGTCAAGTGGTTTTGGTTTAAAGGTGTGCCCCCTCTGTATTTTTGGTTAGCAGTTTACATGACAAGAATCGGTGGCTCAAATTCTTGCTTTTCTTTTTCGTGCTGCTTTCTTGGAAAAGAGAGTAGAGTGTGTTTAGGAGAAACAGTTAATGCAAAAGCTAAATGCTGAAGTGGAATTCAATACCCTTACTTGCTTTCACTCCTAAAGACGTAATAATCACTGTAGCATACTGTCATGTCAGACCTGGGTAGCATGGAGACACTGCTACACTTACCCAGCTGTTAGCTGCTATTGTAAATTAGCACTTTTCAGAAAATTTTATTACAATGTGGAAACTACACAGCTGTGTCATCAAATTTTTAGTTAAATCCCTAATGTGTAGTGAATTTAGGCCTGCTTACTTTGTTATGATTAATAATCTGAATTCCTCCCACTTACTGATTGCCTGTATGACCTGCTCCTATATAAACTGTTGATTTAGATCTCCTATTTCACACAATTATGTAGTGTTTCTAAGTGCTGTTGACTCAATGTTGTGCCCTGACAGATGTTTAGCCTTGATTCTCCTTGAAACAACTATTTGAACTAGAAGACAGTAACACAAAAGGCACACTGCTATGAAATGACTGTAATGGCTTTGGTTTGACGCTAGAAAAATCTAATTAAAACAGTGAGAGATTTTGGAACAGATTTCTGATAGGAAAAGTAGGGTCATTTACTTAACTAGCTCCGAGCTGAAACCCCATAAGCTCGGTAAGGGAAATACATGAGTTTCCCGCAATAACGGAACAGACAGACATGAATTGGAAAAGTTTTCTCGACATGTTGGCTCTGTTCAACAACGAGGTTGTTTCCCACAGCTTAATAGCATTCTATTCTTAGCCACATTGCCAGTGTCTAAAAAGAAATTCTGCTGTAGCTCAAGGAGAATACAATCAGCTATGAATAGCTTTGTTGGGTTTTATTATTTTCCTGTGCAAGCATTCCACCTAGTTTAACAGCCACCTTAATTTATCTGAGTAGGGCCAGACCCTTGTCACTATGGAAACACCTTCACACCTGAAAAATATTTTCCAAGGAGAAAAGGTTGGTTCACTTATGGAATTGTTCTTTTAAGATGAGAGTAGGGGTATTGTATTTCCCAGTATGTGCAAATCAATAGGGAAGGCAGAATTGAAGCAGATTTTCATTTTCTGCACAGGTGGAAATTGTGGTTTGTTCTTGTTTCTTAGAGGAAGTGGGCTCTTCAGGAAGGAGTCTTCATATTCACAGACCCCCTTGTTCATTGACTGCTATGGGACACAGGAAGATTACTGCAAAATTCATTGCAGAGATGTTTTGCCATTATCGCTCTAAGCAGTTGATTGTTATGTTTGAAACCCTCAGACCTAGTTATTAGACAGTCAGTACAAAAGAATGTAATAAAGAATTGCTCTCTGCAGTCAAAGACTTCGAAAGACCAGCAGAACGTTGCTTTGTATGGTATCTCTATTCATAAGGTAGGCCTGTATCCCCTGACCATTACCACCTCCTTAAAAAAGAGGAGAAAAAACCCAAACCAAAAACTACACCATAAGCCCAACCACCAGACAGGAGCTCACTAACATATGATGACATCTTTCACATCCACACAAAATGGAGTGTTTTGGCTATCAAATTAATCTTCTACTTAGGCAACCAAGAAAAAAGAAACAGCAAAAACTAACCAACCAAACAAAACCAAAACCAACTATGTTAAAGAGATACAGTAGAGCAGATTGTTTCATCTCTAATTTGTCCTCTCTCTTGTTTAGATTTAATTTTAGTGTAAATTTTTCCTCAGTAACAAGACCACAAAAAAATCAATGTTCATACTTGATTTAAGAACAGTTCTCTTGCATATTACAGGTCCTTTTAGCCGATTTGTCCAGTTATCTCAGTAGCCTCATGTATTTAGCAATGAGGCGACACACACTTTTTAAAGGTATGTCACCAGTTTTCAGTAATGTCTACAATAGCTCATGAACAAAATAAAGATACTGGTCATTTAAGGCTGTTCTTTTTCACCTGCTAAGCTTCTTGAAAGAACTGACAGTGCCTTGGACAAGAAGCTGCTAGGAGGTCTCCACAAAAATATCATCCAAGCAACACACTGAAAGTATGACAAAAATAGAAGATAGCAGTAGGTAAGTAATTTGGTAAGTTTTCTGTCTGTATAAACAGGGATTATAGTCAAGGATACCTTTTTATTATGATTAAATAGTACAGGGCAGCGTGGAGTTACTAGGAAGGTCAAAGCTTAGAACTGATAAAGGATGCATCATCTGAAAGAAAAAAGTACAATTCTAACAAAAATAGGCCATCACAGACTGAAGTAAAAAAAGAATTTGGTATCTTATTAAGGAAAATCAGATCACTACTGATGCACCTTCCCATTTCTGTCAAAGTAACAGCAATTTTTAAAGGTGTGGCTGAACATGAGACAAGCATACTTAAATACATTTCCAACAGTTCAGTACAAATCAGATCTTGTTTGAAGCTATTTTTGTCTCTAGCTCAGTGGATGCTTATTTAAGTAAGGATCAGCTAGGCTGTCACATTGTTCCTGGAATGCACAAGTGTGAATTATATTTAAAACTGCCCATTTTTGCAAGCAGATTTTTGTGCATCAAGTCTAGATGCTAATGAATATTCAACCTAGCTTTAAGAAAGTGCAATAACAAAGTGTTTTGTAATCTCAATGGCAAAGAAAACGCACATTTTTAATATAGTTTTTATTCTACCCATATACAGCTTGCCAGTACACAGCACATCACTGCTGAACAGCAGTACAACTTACTGCATTTTTAGATGGCTAGAGAGAAAAGGAGTTATGTAACAAAAGGGAATAGTGCAACAGTTTTAGGGTTGACAGATTTCCACTTTCCACCCACCCCCAACTTATAAAGCAAATAGAACGATGTTAATTCTAGAATTTTTGGTTGCAATGCTGCTAGATTTATATAAACATAAGTTATAAAAAGTACAGGGCATAGAAACAGTTTACAAATAAGTTAAATTTCAATTATTTCAGTATTCACATTAGAAAAATATACATTTTATAGAGTCAGTCTTTTCCAGAAGAAAGCATATACAGTTTTCTAATTTATGGCTCCAATTCACTTTGTGAGAGCAAAATATCTTCACTTTGGCCATCTGCTTCCATTGCCAGTAGTGCTTCCACGGTTTCCAAAGGTATCCCCTCAGGTGTACGAATGTGCATTGTAGTACCATTGGAATCGGTTACAATAACGATACCTTCTGCCTGAGACAAAACAGCAGTATCTGGATGAGACAGGATAAGCCCATCTGAAGTCTGAATAAAAATCTGTTCATGTCCCTGAGACAAAAAATCATGGCTCTCATCAGTAATCTCAAAGGCTACAGTTTCATCTACAGTAACTGTATTCTCCAGCTCATGTTGTTCCTCTGTTCCACAAGAAAATTCACTCGTGTTTTCATGGTTCACATGAGCCGACGGGGAGGCTTCCTGGACGGGGTTCTGGTGCAACTCAGTCTGGGCACTGTGTGGGTAGTTTATTGGCACAATGTTTGTTGAAAAAACTTTTTCAAGTTCCTGCATCTCATCAGTCATATCAGCATTATGAAGCTGTTCAGAATGTTCTTTAATTGCAAAATTACGGTTTTCTTCTTGCAGTTTCTGATATTTTTGATTGTGACCATTTTCTTCACTTGTTGGTATGTTAGCGCTCTGACTGCCCATTGCATTCTCTGACACAGAGTTGCAAAGTTCAGGAGCTGACAGTCCACCTGCTGTGTTCTCGCTCACAAAGTGCGCTTGAACTAATTCAGGTGAGCCATCTGCTTCAACAGGCAATACAACTTCAGTATGTAGCAGAGATGCGTCACCTGCCATGTCTGGTCCCTGTATGTTCACAGGTTGGGAATACTCTATCCTCATTCTCACAGTTTGGGAGAAGGTACCTGAATTTTCAGCATCGATTCTAACTCCTGAATCAGCAAGTGAATTATGTTTCTCTGCTGTCGGTAATGTACTTCCAGTCGTGCAGCAAGTGATATGCCCATCTTCTGAAAGCAGGATTTCTCCATTTAATGGATTAAAGCCTGAAAAGGTGAAAGAAATGTCATTTTGTTGGGCAATCTAATATTGCATGTCCAAAAAATTACTTTTCAGCAATAATTTTGGAGGAAAAGCTAGACTACTTCCCTGCTTTCTTCCCCCAAATTAGCAAACCTGAAGCACCTTACAAGAGTTTCACAGCACTTCCCAATGAGAAAGCCAGTATAAAAATA